GCAGTTATAGTCTGATGGTTGTGGACAGGAAGTGACCTGCGGTGGTGCTCCTTCCTCCACCAGTGAGGCACAAGTCTTGAGCTGAAGGAGATCCTCAGAGACTCTACAGTTCTGTGCAGGAGGTGGGAGGAGGTGGACATGATAGTTTTACCAGCGGCCTTCTGACCTCCACCTCCTCAGTAGATTCCAGGGGCAGTTTGCTTAAAATCCACCAAGGTTTCATGTCATTTTATATTCCTGGTGCATGAGCTGTGATCTTATACTGCCACCTTCTGGTGCAAGGACAGAAGCAGAGGGACCCCCCCTTACACAACCTGTTTACTGACATACCTTGAAGAATAAGTTGAGTAATACTCGGGAATGGTAAATACTGTAGTTATCATGAATGTCAGACTAATTTAGTAGTTTTATGTTGGGTGGAATGATGATGCAATGTTAAAAGCAAGGATTGAGTGGACAAGTCCACACAGACTCTAAATTATATGTAAAGCTTTTATATTTTGTTAAATGTCTATTTTAAAACCAATGAGTCTCGTAGTGTTTGATTTTCAAAATAAGTGTGGATGATAATCCTGCAGGGGACTTGGTGATTTTCTTACATTACTTTTTTCTTCCATCTCTTTGGAATTAGAGTTCTCTGGACGGGAAATCCGGTCGGCGGTCGTCTTCAACCCGGCGGAGGACACGTCGTTGGCTCATGAGGAGGACGAGGGCTCTGAGCTGAAGGGGCCTGTGGTAAGACCAGCACCTTCGGCTGCTAACAGATTATCACATTTGCAGGTGGCGTTCTGTGAAAAGGTTATGAACAGTTAGTATCTTACCTGTTATAGATGGGTCATTGAACTAACCCAGGGTTTAATTCTGATCAGCTTGATGAGTGAACGGCTCGTCTACATGTAGCTAGACCCAAACTACAGTCCAGCTGCTTCAGTTTTACATAGTTCATAGTTCCTTACCTGAACACTGTCACATACCTTCATATTGCAGCAGCAGCAGCTGGCTGTAGCAGTATCTGTGCAGCCTGGGGTGCTTCCAACAGGAAGATTATAGTTCTGCCAGAATACCAAAGTCACATAACGTTGATCGTAGTGCGAGGATTTATTCAAGTGTTCACAGGGACCTCTGTGTGAGACTGCAGGTGTTTAAACCAGCACTGCTCTACTGGACCTCCTTGGACCGGTCACTGAGCCCCGCTGTAGAACTGGACCCCTTGGACCGGTCACTGAGCCCCGCTGTAGAACTGGACCTCCTTGGACCGGTCATTATGAGCTCATGAGGAAGGTCTGAGCGAGACAGGTTCTGTAGTTTTTAAACAAGTCCAGTCTTGACGGGTTCATGTGCTACAGAGCAGAGCGTCCCTCAATGTTTCCAGTAACATCGTGTCACATGACCGTTCTGTTGAAGCCTGAAAACCTTCGCCCTCCAACAGCAGAGAGAACCACAGCTGGTGCTCGGGTGCTGTTCATCTCCAGGCCTGTTTGTCACCTTTTCACTGAAACTCACTTGAAAACAGCTGAACTGTCCCTTTAACGAGGTCCTGTGCTCCGTGCAGATTGACAGGCGCTGCTCACGGTGCAACAAAGAAGGGATGATCTATCACACACGCCAGATGAGATCTGCAGATGAAGGGCAAACGGTCTTCTTCACCTGTGTCCACTGCAGGTGAGACACCTCTGCTCTGGGTGGACGGTTCTGATGATGGTTCTGATGATGGTTCTGATCTTCTTGTTTTAGGTTTCAGGAGAAGGAGGACTCCTGAGGGCGATCGTGTGGAGCGTCGGTGCTTCAGAACGTCTCCAGTTCTCCGTCAGCGTTCACATTTTAATGAAGAAGCGGCGGTGGTGAAGTTTGACCTTCAGTCCAGAAGAGCTTCTCAAGTTTTCTGCTTTCTAGTTAAAACTGCTGCAAGTTTCAGCTCACGTCTGAAGTAAAAGAACATTTTAGAGATTTTTTTTTAATCTGCTGAGATCTAAATAAACAAACGAGACAACAAATCCTGGATCTGACTTGTCAAGATCTGCAGTTTGTGGACAGGAAGTGGAAAGTTAAGATTACCTTATTTTTCAGACTATAAGGCGCATTAAGTGAAACAAAGCAGTCGGATGAGTCAAACTTTATTCAACTCATTCACTATAACTCAACATTGTTCAGAGCCAGAAATGAGTTATTGTCGTTCCACCTCATGTGGTACATGTGGAACGAGATTATGTACACAGGGTCCCAGTTACATCCAACAATAAAATGTCAAAGAAAAACAACAATGAGATCTAAGATATGAACTAAGATAAACATCAAATAAAAATTCACTAAGCACTAATAAAAAAACATCACCGAACAGCAGCACGAACACGAGCATGAGTCTGTGAGCAGATGTGCACGCATGAACACAGCAACATTGAAACAGATCAGCAGCAACATTGAAACCGATCAGCAGCAACATTTAAACAGATAAGCAGTAACATGAAACGGATTAGCAGCAACATGAAACAGATCAGCTGCAAAATTGAAACAGATCAGCAGCAACATTGGAACAGATCAGCAGCAACATGAAACAGATAAGCTGCAAAATTGAAACAGATCAGCAGCAACATGAAACAGATCAGCAGCAACATTGGAACAGATCAGCAGCAACATGATGTGATTTTTCACAGCGATTATTCTGGTTAGAGATTCATGAGTCTTAACAGCCTCAGGGTAGAAGCTGTTCCTCAGTCTAGTGGTTCTACACTTAATGCCCCTTAAACTCCTTCCTGAGGGGAGTGGGGCAAAAAGTGTGTGTGCTGGGTGAGTGAGGTCCTTCATGATGCAGGTGGCCCTCTTCCTGCATCTGGAGGACCTGAACGGTTTTCTTCTTAATCCAACAAAGTTAAGTCAGCTCCTCTGGATGGTTTTCTTTTTGTTGAAACGTTTCATCTTTCATCCAAAAGACTTCTTCAGTCCATACTTGCATGCACGTAGAGAACTTGCAAACTTCACCCAGAAAGGCCCCTGACCAGGATTTGATCTGACAACCTTCTTGCTAAGAGACAACAGCTCTACCACCTACACCACCATGCTGCAAGAGTCCAATATAATTTTTACAGTCACACACCGAAGCAACATTCATTTTAGTGACCTCCGATTGACGTAACCAGGTGTCATTGTTGCCGACGTGAATAACAATCTTACTGTATTTAGCCTTAGTCAGCAGTTTCAGATAAGATTCTATGTCGCCCGCTCTGACCCCCGGAATGCATTTAACTGGCCGCTGGAGTCCCTAAAGCCACATTTTGGACTATGGAGCTGCAGGGTCTGCTTCTCAGCGGGTGTGTCACTGAGCGAGGAAAATCAATTAGAAACGTGAACGGGCCGGTGGTGAACTGGGGGCTTAGCCTTAGCACTACGCTTGCTCCGGACCATCACCCAGCTGGCCTGGGGTCCCGGCTGCTCGGGGTCTGCTGGAGGACCGCTGAAAGGAGACATTCTTAGTGACTCTGCACTGACGGGTGGGGGCAAAATTAAAACCTTTTTCAAACTAGGGGTCAATTTCAGAATCTACATTAAATCAGATGTCCAATATCTTTTCTTGGTCACAGGTTCCTCAACTAGAGTTTGATTGGTCTCATTTGATGTTCTCTGTTGTGCTTTTGACATCATAATCAAAGATTACTGAAAAAATTCAAGAGATGGAAGTATTTTATGTTTCACATATCATCCTGGGGGCCAGATAAGCTGTCAACGAGGGCCACATTTGGCCCCCGGGCCTTGGGTTTGACACTTTAAGGGCTAAGAGGACCTGGCTAGCTACTGGTTTTACGACAGTGTGGAGACAAGCTTCCAGTTCAGACAGCCTCTCCAAAGCTACCATAAGACTATATTTGTTACATGTATCATAACCACTAAAGGAGGCAGAGGAGTAACTAAACATCTGACACACGGAGCAAGAGAAAACAGAGGACCTGACTTAACTTTGTTAGATCCTTCAGTTTATCCACTCTCACCTGCTCCACTCAGCACAGGTTTCTCTAACTTCCTCCTCGGTCCAGTCCTTTAAAACTGTTTCGTCTCCACACATAAATCAGTTCTGCATTGTTGCATACATGCCACAGCTACGGTTGTTTCCTTTGAGTTCAGTCTGACTTGTTGCTGCCATGTCAGCCTTTTTCTTGGTTCATTAAATCACTTTGTTTTATTTAAGTTCTTTTTGTAAACTCTGCATTCTGGGTCCGAAGTCTCTGCCAACCATGATAACATTATTTACACGAAACCCTAAGATTATTTACATGTATACATACGTAGTAAGTATGAAAAGCAGCAGCAGCGACATACAACACTTAACATTCTTTTAGTCATTTTATCACATGAAGCTCCCAGCAGTGGAAATAAATTAATGAAACAGTTTGTATGAACTGCTGGACGATGATGTTTGCAGATGACATTGTGATCTGTGGTGAGAACATGGAACAGGCGGAAGAGAACTTGGAGAGGTGGAGGTATGCACTTGAAAGAAGAGGAATGAAAGTCAGCCGTAGTAAGACAGAGTATTGTGTGTTTCCTGCCTGCACTGGAAGTGCTATCATTGCTGCTGGTTCTGTTTGTATTTGCAAAAGATGTGATATAAAATGAGATATAATGAGTATTTCATGTAAATAATTGTGCATTTGCAGAACTGATGTGAATGTAGAAACTGCAAAAGTTTTATGAAGACAGAAACCCAAGCTGGTCCTGGATCGGCTCAGACTAGTCGTCAGCTGGTCTGTTTAACGTAGGCTATGTTCACTCAAAGGGCAGAAATTGCTCAGATTTGATTTTTACTTTACAAATAACCCGGATCAGATTTTTCAAGTCAATGTAACAAATCAGATCTTTTGCATATGTGTTCCTGAATCTGATCCATATCTGATGTCTATGAGAGCGACCTCAGTCTGAACGCTCATGTCTCATTTCATCTGACTCTTATGTCAGTCAGGTAGGGGGATGTGGATCGATACAAGTGTTACCAACCTGGAGGTGTTGCCTTAAACCACATATAGAGATACTTTAAAGAAAACTAACTTTCTGATTATCACTCCTGTCCAAACTAGCTAACACTAACTGGAGCACAGATCCTTAGACCCTGAGAACTGCTGTTTTAGCTTTGTGCTACTCCACAGCTGAATACTGTGCTCCTGCTTGGTGCAGATCTGCATGTGCTAAACAGAGACCCCAAGCTCAACGCAGTCTGCTGCGTCATGATAGGGACCCTTCACCCTGCTCCAGCAAGCTATCTACAGGCTCCACCTGCAACATGAAGAGAGACTAGCATTAAAATTGAAACAGGAAAATGACCCACAGCACCCACCATATGTCCATACACCAGGCCCGATACGTTTAAGGTCTAAGGCTCAGCCTTAGAGACAGGGTGAGGAGCTTCATCATCCAGGGGGAGTTTGGAGTAGAGCTGCTCCTCTGCATCTGAGGAGGTTCATCTGATCAGTGCCTCCTGGACACCTCCTTTTGGAGGTTTTCTGGGCATGTCACACTGGGAAGAGGCCTCGGGTCAGACCCAGAACTTTCTCAAGGGATTGTGTATCTTCTCTGGTCTGGGAACAGTTGGGGTCCCCCAGGAGGACCTGGAGAGACAGAGGTCTGGGTTCCTCTCCTGGACCTGTTGACTCCACGACTCGACTAGAGATACAAGGTAGAAGATGGAGCTGATGATCAGGGTTCTCTGCCCTTTGAGAGTCAGTGCAGACATGAGGCTTTCAGTCACACTTGAGAATCTCAGTAATTAAAAAAAAAAACTTGAGTTACTTCTGTTGCAGTTCAGGACTCGTGTCAAAGTGTTGAAGTGAACTCGTCAAGTCTGGAGGGTGGCGCCCTCTGCAGGGGGTCTGCAGCACCCTCATGGTGCTGGCTGCGGTCACTTCCACTGCGCACGTGTTCTGATCCAACAGACATATTTTACTATTACGGACTCTGAGGCTGCTGCACAGGTCCATGGCCAGCAGTCACTGTCAGAGGTGGGGGACACCTGGACAGGTCTCAGTCCATCACAGGGACACCTGGACAGGTCTCAGTCCATCACAGAGACAACTGGAAAGGTCTCAGTCCATCACAGAGACACCTGGGCAGGTCTCAGTCCATCACAGGGACACCTAGACAGGTCTCAGTCCATCACAGGGACACCTGGACAGGTCTCAGTCCATCACAGAGACAACTGGAAAGGTCTCAGTCCATCACAG